TATATGATTACAAAATATTTAAAGCGTAATACTATATGTGCGGGCCAGCGCCGCGACTCACTAGGCTAATCCTCCGCCTTGTGGCGCCGGCACACTGGGTTCTAGTCCCGGTCGGGGCACCAGATTCTGTCCCGGTTGCCTCTCTTCCAGGCCGGCTCTCTGCTATGGCCCGGGAGTGCAGTGGAGGATGACCCAAGTACTTGGGCGCTGCACCCCATGGGAGACCAGGATAAGTACCTGGCTCTTGCCATCGGATCAGCGCGGTGCGCCGGCCGTGGCGGCCATTGGAGGGTGAACCAACAGCAAAAAGGAAGACCTTTCTCTCTCTCTCTCTCACTGTCCACTCTGCCTGTCAAAAAAAAAAAAAAATACTATATGTGCTCCCTTATTAAAACATTAAATAAGATTCACCATAATAGCAACCATCACTGTGAGCAAAAATGGACTTTAAGTACATCTGTAATAATTACAAGTTGATTGAAATTAAAATATTTGTGATTTTTTTAATTTGTCATAAATATAATACAACTGGTTTACTGCCTTGAACACTGAAAGAGATAGTTGATTTGTTAGAATTTAGTGAAAATAAATTATTTTCTCCCAACCATATTCATAAAATGTCACCACTCTTTCCTCAATTCTGACTTACTGTAAAAGAAATACCAAGGCTCCCTGATGAACATAGATGCAAAAATACTCAATAAAATTCTGGCAAACCGAATCCAACTACACATCAGAAAGATCATTCACCCGGACCAAGTGGGATTTATCCCTGGTATGCAGGGATGGTTCAATATTCGAAAGTCAATCAACGTAATCCAGCACATTAACAAATTGAGAAACAAAAATCATATGGTTATCTCAATAGATGCAGAGAAAGCATTTGACAAAATACAACACCCCTTCATGATGAAAACCCTAAGCAAATTGGGGTTAGAAGGAACATTCCTCAACACAATTAAGGCAATCTATGATAAACCAAAGGCCAGCATCATATTGAATGGGGAAAAGTTGGAGGCATTTCCATTGAGAACTGGCACCAGACAGGGATGCCCACTCTCACCACTGCTATTCAATATAGTCCTAGAAGTCTTAGCCAGAGCCATCAGGCAAGAAAAAGAAATTAAAGGGATACAAATGGGAAAGGAGGAAGTCAAACTATCCCTGTTTGCAGATGACATGATACTATATATAGAGGACCCAATAAACTCCTATAAGAGGCTACTGAAACTCATAGAAGAGTTTGGTAAAGTAGCAGGATACAAAGTCAACGCTCAGAAATCAACAGCCTTTGTATACACAGACAATGCCAGGGCTGAGGAAGAACTACTAAGATCAATCCCATTCACAATAGCCACAAAAACAATAAAGTACCTTGGAATAAATTTAACCAAGGACGTTAAAGATCTCTATGATGAAAATTACAAAACACTAAAGAAAGAAATAGAAGACGACACAAAAAAATGGAAAAACCTGCCATGCTCATGGATTGGAAGAATCAATATCATCAAAATGTCCATTCTCCCAAAAGCAATTTACAAGTTCAATGCAATACCAATCAAAATACCAAAGTCATTCTTCAAAGACCTAGAAAAAACGATGCTGAAATTCATATGGAGAAACAGGAGACCCAGAATAGCTAAAGCAATCCTTTACAATAAAAACAAGGCCGGAGGCATCACAATTCCAGACTTCAAAGCATACTACAGGGCAGTTATAATCAAAACAGCCTGGTACTGGTACAAAAACAGATGGATAGACCAATGGAACAGAATAGAAACACCGGAGATCAATCCAAACATCTATAACCAACTCATATTTGACAAAGGACCTAAAACCAACCCCTGGAACAAGGACAGCCTCTTCAACAAATGGTGCTGGGAAAACTGGATGTCCACATGCCGCAGTATGAAGCAAGACCCCTACCTTACACCTTATACAAAAATCCACTCAACATGGATCAAAGAACTAGAGTTGCGCCACGACACCATGAAACTAATTGAGAGCATAGGGGAAACCCTTCAAGATATTGGAATAGGCGAAGAATTCCTGGAGAAGACCCCACAGGCACGGGTAATCAAAGATAAAATAAACAAATGGGATTGCCTAAAATTGAAGAGTTTCTTAACAGCAAAGGAAACAGGAAAGCGAAGAGGCAACCAACAGAATGGGAGACGTTATTCGCAAACTACACAACAGATAAAGGATTAACAACTAGAATCTACACAATGATCAAAAAACACCACAGAATCAAAACAAACAACCCAATAAAAAAATGGGCCAAGGACCTTAACAGGCATTTTTCAAAAGAGGAAATCCAAATGGCCAACAGGCACATGAAAAAATGCTCAGGATCCCTAGCCATCAGGGAAATGCAGATCAAAACCACAATGAGATACCACCTCACTCCGGTTAGATTGGCTTACATACAGAAATCAACCAACAACAGATGCTGGCGAGGATGTGGAGAAAAGGGGACACTAATCCACTGCTGGTGGGAATGCAAGCTGGTAAAGCCACTATGGAAGACAGTCTGGAGAGTCCTCAGAAACCTGAACATAGCACTACCACAGGACCCAGCCATCCCACTCCTTGGAATATACCCAAATGGAATTAAAGGGGTGAAAAAAGCCATTTGCACCTCAATATTTGTTGCAGCTCAATTCACAATAGCTAAGACATGGAATCAACCTAAATGTCCATCAACGGATGACTGGATAAAGAAACTATGGGATATGTACTCTATGGAACACTATACAGCAGTAAAAAACAACGAAATCCGGGCATTCACAACAAAATGGAGGAAGCTGGAAAACATCATGCTGAGTGAAATAAGCCAGTCCAAAAGGGATAAATATCACATGTTCTCCCTGATTGATGGCAACTAAATGAGCACCTAAAACGATACCCATTGAAGTGAAATGGACACTATGAGAGACAATGACATGAGCAGCCCTTGTCTAGACTGTTGAGGAAAAACTTACTATTTTGTTCCTTTAGTATTTTTTTTTGTTGTTGTTGTTGCTCGGTATGCTCTACACAAGACCACTGGTTGAACTCTGCAATCAATGCACAACCATTCTTAAGCGTTTAAAAATTAATAGGAAATTGATCTCTGTGGAACATGGGAGTGGGAATAAGAGAGGGAGGAGATATATAGGACGGCACATACTCAATCAGACCTACCTCCAATGGTGGAACTGGAAATGTGCCAGGGGATTTCAACTCAATCTTACCAAGGAGGCAGGTACCAATGCCAGCACACTTGGTAAAGAGACAAATATAAATACACAACTGATCCAAAAGATAGGGTAAGTGTCGAAGAGATTACACAAATAAGACCAGTGTAAGCAAATAATGAAAGATAGAATCAAAAGGGTTGAGAATGATCCTGCGGGGGAAGCAGGTCACACAGCAGACTCATAGAATGGCAAATGCCCAAAACAGCACTCCTGCCTCAGAATTAACCCTTGGGACATTCGGATCTGACTAAAAGGTCCATGAGAGTCTCGCAGGCATGGAAAAACATGACACGGTGGCAAAAAACAATCTAAATGAAGGATCCTGGCGAACAACACTCCAGCAGAAGGATCAGGCCATCAAGGAGAGAGGCGCCTTTCTCTGAAGGGAGGAAGGAACCTCCACTGTGATATGGCCTTGACTAAACAAATTCAGAGTTGGTGAACTCAAGGGGCCTCCATAGCCTAGACAGCTCATAGCAAGAGTCTCGGGTGATTGCTGACGTCATAAATAAGAGTGCCAATTGTTAAATCAACAACGGGAGTCACTGGGTTCATGCTCCCCTCGCAGGATCTCTGTCCTTAATATGTTTATCTATGAAACTCAAAAACAACACTACTAGTCGAACAATACCCTATACCTGGTTCGGTTGTGTGAGTGCAACCTGTTGAAATCCCTGCTTACTATATACTAAATTGATCTTCGGTATATGAAGGTAACTGAAAATGAAACGTGATGAAGGGGGGAGAGGGGAGAGGAAGTGGGTGAGGGGAGGGCCACGGGAGGGAGGGAGGGAGGGGGGAAGCCACAACAATGCAAAAGATGCATTTTATATTCTACTTAAAACTATTGGTTGAGCTCTGTAATTAATACACAATTACTCTTAGGTGTTTAATTAATGCTATAACTAGTACTCAAATAGTATTTTACACTTTATGTTTCTGTGTGGAAGCAAAATGTGGTAATCTTTACTTAACATACGCTAAATTGATCTTCTGTATATAAAGATAATTGAAAATTAATTGTGATGTGAAGGGGAAGGGGAGAGGGAGTGGGAGAGGGGAGCGTTGTGGATGGGAGGGAAGACACGGGGGGGGGGGGGAGGGTATTGGGGGCCATAAGCTGTACTTTGGAAATTTACGCTCATTAAATAAATTAAAAAAGAAAAAAAGAAAAAAAAAAGAAATACCAAGGAAAATACTTGTAGATATTAACTATCTGGAAGAAAAGAGCCAGATTCATAGTACTGGCTATTTTTTCTTTCCTTTTTAACATTCTGACTTGTTAAATCTTTATTTTACGTTTCAGTCTTGATGAAACTTTAAGACTGAAGTGATCAAGTAATATTAATGTCTACTAGACATCCACTGTAAACATGCTTAGCCAGTGCTAAAAAAGGGAGGAGAGTAACATCTTATCATTTTCACCCTGAGGCCAGTTTTAAGCTGGCAGCACCTGTCAATGACAGATCAAGAATGTAAAATCTTGGGAAAACAATTCAAGGCTACAAGTCCAACATCTTCTCACAGTAAGATTTCACTACCACTATCAACCTAGGAGATTCTGGTTTCATTCTTCCTAGGGAAGGCAATATTTTTCTCTAATGGCAATTCAGTAATTTTTTATTTATGTTATAATCTTTTAAAAAATAGAGTAATGGTTTACACCATAAGACAGTAAAAATAACATACTGGTACTAAAGAAATTTCAGTATTTTATGACAATTACTGATTCAAAAACTTTTAAACATAAGTGTGTACCTGTAATAATTCCAGGGTCATAGGAATATTCTTAAGCTCCTTCAACAAATCCAATGCTCCAGCCTGTAACATAAAATAATTACATATTGAATTCCCAGGACAATAAAACAGGGACTGGTCAGAAATTTACAATTATGAGTCGCCACGCATCTCAGTCTCATCACAAGTATCTACAAGCCGGTGCTGATCTGGCCAGGTCAGAGTACCTGGAACCTAGTGAACCGCCTCAGTGGCTAGTACCATGTGGACCTGGGCCAGGTAGGCTACAAGGAGGCAAAGTGTGGCAGGCAGGTCCTGCAAGATGCTGGCTATGAATCTGACAACTGCTTTACCTCAGTGCAGGAAAGACTGGATCTTCTGGATGGTGCTGGATGTCACTGACCAGATGTGGCTGCCAGCTGTGGGGACTTGGTGCTCAACAAGCTGCACTTTGGGAGGCTGTGACAAGCCTCAATAAAGCAGAAACTGCCACCAAGCATGGTGAGGCCCAGGTGAAGATCTGGCAGTGCTCTTATGATGTCTCTCTGCCTCCCATGGAGCCTGATCCCTTCCACAGCAACATCACTAAGGATGGTAAGTATGCAGACTTCACTGGAGATCAGCTGCCCTCCTGGGAGAGTCTGAAGGACACTATGGCCACAGCCCTGCCCTCCTGCAACGAAGAGATCCTGCTCCACATCAAGGAGGGGAAACGGGCCGGCGCCGCGGCTCACTAGGCTAATCCTCCTCCTTGCGGCGCCGGCACACCGGGTTCTAGTCCCGGTTGGGGCGCCGGATTCTGTCCCGGTTGCCCCTCTTCCAGGCCAGCTCTCTGCTGTGGCCAAGGAGTGCAGTGGAGGATGGCCCAGGTGCTTGGGCCCTGCACCCCATGGGAGACCAGGAAAAGCACTTGGCTCCTGGCTCCTGCCATCGGATCAGCGCGGTGCGCCGGCCGCGGCGGCCATTGGAGGGTGAACCAACGGCAAAGGAAGATCTTTCTCTCTGTCTCTCTCTCTCACTGTCCACTCTGCCTGTCAAAAAGGAAAAAAAAAAAAAAAAAAAAGGAGGGGAAACGGGTACTGATCGCAAGGCATAGCAACAGCCTTTGGGGCATTGCCAAGCATCGAAGGGTCTCTCTGAAGAGGCTATCATGGAGCTAACTGGAAGCCCGTCAAACCCATGCAGTTCCTGGGGGGATAAAGAGACCATGGGTAAAGCTACAGAAGCTGTGGCTGTCCAGGGCAAGGACAAGAAGAGAATGCAAGTGGGAAGAACACTATCCCCAGCACTACCCTCCCTGCCCACCCAATCTTCTGCACCTGTCTCCTGCACATGTCACACTGACCACCTCTGTAGGCACCTAAGGTTGTAGCTGCGGCTGGAGACTGGGAGCTCCTGCTTTCCTTTCAACCATTTTGCCTCCTGCACCGTCCCCTTCACAAAATCTAGTCAGGATGGCACCCATGAGGTACTGGCTTTCGGTCCAACTGAAGGAAGACTCCTCTCACCCATAGAGTTGAGGTCCAAACACTCGTGTCTGCCAGTGCACTGTTTACTAAGCGCCTGCTGGAGTTGGGAGAGGAAGGAGTTATGCTAAGTCTTGACCAATTAGGAGAGATAGGAGAGTTTGCTGTGTTCCCAGGAGCCAGTCCTCTGTGCTTCTGCAGTCAGGCCACTGCCCTGGGGGCTGCAGTCATTCCAGTGGAAGATTAATGTAACCTGTATAGTGACTTAAAAACACAACCACCACTTCCTCCCTTACCCACGAGAAACTGGCTCTAGAAAGGTTGGGATCAAGCCTGAATTTAGTTTCTGTGATACATTTACTTTTACAAAAACACACACATATAAAATTGATACTAAACAAAAGCCCTTTTGGGGTTCCTAGCAGTCATTCAAATAGTCCCCTTTGTGGTCACCAGAAAATGAGCCTGGCTCCTTAAGTGGTAGGACTGCCTCCTGATGTGTCTTAGGATCTCTCCCCTGCCTTGTTTTGTGGCAGTGAAATTTCTCTTGAGGATGTCCAAAGTGTGTCTTTCAGTGAGTGATTCCGAATCATGTTTTCCAGTTGCCTGGCCCTGCCACATAGGCTAGGTACTCATTTTGCGTATATCTGTACTAAATCTTTTTTCCAGATCAGAGCAATAAAGGAGTGTGATATACAATTAAAAAAAATTATTTTATGATTTCTATCCATAACATACAATGGCCCATTTATTCACTTGAGAACAAAGACACATAAATACACAGAACACAAATATACTGTTTTTCAACTGGGGGTTGAAACTTATCAGAAGATCATAAAATCCATTTACTAGGTTATGAAAAGCATTTAAAATAAATATTATTTTGGGGCCAGCGCCGTGGCTCACTTGGTTAATCCTCCGCCTGCAGTGCTGGCATCCCATATGGGCGCCGAGTTCTAGTCCCGGTTGCTCCTCTTCCAGTCCAGCTCTCTGCTGTGGCTCAGGAAGGCAGTGGAGGATTGCCCAAGTGCTTGGGCGCCTGCACCCGCATTGGAGACCAGGAAGAAGTACCTGGTTCCTGGCTTCAGATCGGCGCAGCGCCGGCCGTGGCAGCCATTTGGGGAGTGAACCAATGGAAGGAAGACCTTTCTGTCTCTCTCTCTCTCATTGTCTAACTCTGTCAAATAAAAATAAATAAATAAGTATTATTTTGTGAAAGTTTATTTTTAGTAGTACTTGTTTCTGTCTGCAGTAGACATGCAAAACCTGCTTAAGGAAAGAGTCAAGTCTGAGAATGTGGGGATGCTGCACCCCTCTAGCATCTGCTCAAGCAAAGGGAGAGTGGATATCACTGCTAGAATTGTCATCAGGTCTCTTAGCATCTCACAGCTCTGTCATAAGAATACAATTGTCTACCCAGTTCTTGCATAGTGGTAAAGACTAAATTCTGAATGAAAATCTAGAATTAAGAACTATGTTAAGCTCACAGGCCTTCCACTGTCAATTCCAATATGCAGTAAAAACTTCCCATGGAAGGGCAAAGGTTGTGGCGCAACAGGTAAATCTCTGCTTGAAACACACATACCAGAATACCTGGGATTGAATACCAGCTCCTCTTTGACCTAGTTTCCTGCTAATGCACACCCTGAGAAGCAGCAGGTGATGGCTCAAGTATTTGGGTCTCTGCCATCACATAGGAGATCTAGACGGAGTTCTGGGTTCTGGCTTTTATCCTGGCCCACCCAGCCTTGGCTGTTGCAGGTATTTGTAGAGTAAAGCAGGGGATGAAAGATATCTTTCTCTCTCTTTCTCACTCTATCAAATAAAGAAAATAAATAAGCTTTAGAAAAAAAAAAGCTCCCATCTAGATAAAGGAACAAAATAAGACTCACGAAAGAATCACAGAACATTCCTAAAGTTAAAAGAGGAATAAAATTAGAGCAATAGCACCACCTACAGTTTGTGGCCAAATGTTCCATTTAATATTAATTTAACCTATCATATTTCATCAAATCTATTATATTCACTTAATCATATTTTATTTAGTGTAATATCTCCTTAAAATACTGTATTTAGACACATTACCTTATATACCAGCAACTTAGAAAAAGCGATTAAAGTATGACATATGTTTTCTTACAACTTTGTTTATTGAAAGAATTCTTTTAGTCTCAGAATTTTACTATATATCAACTTTTCTTTAAAAGATTTATTTATTTACTTCGAATGTCAGAGTTACAAAAAGAAAGGGAGAGACAGAAAGAGATCCTCTATCCACAGGTTCACTCCCCAGATTGCCACAACAGCCAACTCTGGGCCAGGCTGAAGCCAAGAGGCCAAGAGCCAGGAGCTTCATCCAGGTCTCTCATATGGGTGGAAGGGCCCAAACATTTGGGCCATCCTCTGCTGCCCCTCCAAGGCAATTAGCAGGGAGCTTCATCAGCAGTAGAGCAGTTGGGACAGAGGCCATACTCACCATCTAACACCACCAGCCCTCATACATCACCTTTATATATACAGAAAATGTAAGTAAAGGAAATCACCTAGATGTTTCCAAAACTACTCTACATTCAGAGTCTGACGCCTATGAATCACTTTTTGACTCATTCAATGATACCTATTTTTACCTTAAAAAAGAGCTGTAGTTCCGGCGCCGCGGCTCACTAGGCTAATCCTCCGCCTAGCGGCGCCGGCACACCGGGTTCTAGTCCCGGTTGGAGCGCCGGATTCTGTCCCGGTTGCCCCTCTTCCAGGCCAGCTCTCTGCTGTGGCCAGGGAGTGCAGTGGAGGATGGCCCAGGTGCTTGGGCCCTGCACCCCATGAGAGACCAGGAAAAGCACCTGGCTCCTGGCTCCTGCCATCGGATCAGCGCGGTGCGCCGGCCACGGCGGCCATTGGAGGGTGAACCAACGGCAAAGGAAGACCTTTCTCTCTCTCTCTCTTCACTAGATACGTCTCATGTCATCATACAAAAAACAAAGAATATAAAAAAGCGTAGCAAGACTATAGAAATTGGTGTTATGCCCAGCAGGTTAAGTCAGTGTTCGTTGCTTGGAACACTTGCATCCCATATCAGAGTGCCAGTTATAGTCCTGAATGCTCGATGCTTCTGATCCAGCTTCCTGTTATTGCACCTAGGAGGCAGTAGGTAATGGCCCAAGTACTTGGGGTTCTTGTCATGCCCATGGAAGACCTAAATAAATAGTTTCAGGATCTTGGGTTAGGCCTGGCCCAGATTCAGCTGTTGTGTGCATTTAGGAAGTGAAACAAGAGATGGAAGATTTCTGTATTCTGCCTTAAAAAAACAAACAAACAAACAAAAAAAAACACCAGGAATGCATTCTTTCATAAAAGACTGCCGGCCGGCGCCACAGCTCACTAGGCTAATCCTCCGCGCCAGCACCCCGGGTTCTAGTCCTAGTCAGGGCACCGAATTCTGTCCTAGTTGCTCCTCTTCCAGTCCAGCTCTCTGCTGTGGCCCAGGAAGGCAGCGGAGGATGGCCCAAGTGCTTGGGCCCTGCACCCGCATGGGAGACTAGAAGGAAGCACCCAGCTCCTGGCTTCAGATAGGCACAGCGTGCGTGCCGGCCATAGCGGCCATTTGGGGGGTGAACCAACGGAAGGAAGACCTTTGTCTCTGTCTCTCTGTAGTACGTGGAGCAATTTTTCACCCCCAGTGCAATTTTACAACCATTTACTTCCTTAGGGTTCAAAGAAAACTCCACAAATGCATCTCATATTTTCTTCCAAGATAATTGATTTGCCCATTCTGCAAATTTTGATGCTAGGTTTGATATTCTGCCAATGAAAGTACACAACAGCTATCTGGCCAATGATAAGTGTAACTCATCCTGCTTTGTAAAACATTAAAATATGAAAACTAGGCATCCTACAAATCAATGAAACATATCCTAGCAAAATATGAAATCCCAGAGCAGTTCTTTATACTATGTATCCTAAAGGAAGAAGCAGGCATAGATTGTCATGATATTACTATACTCATATTCTTAAAAATGAAATCAAGTAAAGGGGCTGGCATTGTGGCACAGCAGGTTAAGCTGCCCCTGTAATGCCAGCATCCTATATCAGAATGCTCCTTCAAGCCCCAACTACTGCACTTCCAATCTAGATACCTGCTAATGCAGTCAAAAAAGATCCAAGTATTTGGGCCACTACTGCCCATATGGGAGACCCGGATGCAGTTCCTAGCTCTTGGCTTTAGCCTGGCCCCAGATGTGGCTATTGCAGGCATCTGGGGAATGAATCAGTGGATGGAATACCTATCTCTCTCATTTTCTCTCTCTCCCTCCTTCTGTTGCTCGCTCTGCCTTTCAATAAATAAATATTTTTTAAAATCAAGTAAGGGCTTCTATCATGTATTTTTTCCACATAAAACTGACAGCCATTAGATTTGACCTTTGGGACTAAAACAGTATTAACTTTTCAGATAAATAAATAAATTAAAAAAAAAATTTCCTGGGAGATGGGATGGTTGCAGGTGGGAGGGTGGTTATGGGGGGAAAAGCCACTATAATCCAAAAGTTATACTTTGGAAATTTATATTTATTAAATAAAAGTTAAAAAAAAAGAATTTCTTCAGAAATAACATTTTCTAAACAAATGAAGTTTTTAATCCCCTACATGCAAATAATAAAACTGAAAACTAAAAGATTTCTAAATTATTCATAAATTTTTAATACACCCATCTGACAGTGACAAATGTAAAGCAATCTATGTTATATTTATCCCACTTAATGTAAGAGTGCATTTCACGATATAAATGTTAATGTCTTACTACTGGAAACTGCCCAGATCCCACTGGGGATATTATAAAAAATATGACATATGTACCACATTATCTTTATTAAGATGTAAAAATTTTTGGATCCCCAAATACATCAGACCTTAAGGTTTTGGTTAATGGACTGTGGACCTGTATCTTCCATCTACCATGTGTATATTTTCTACCAATGTATCCATTTCTGATCAAGCACCAACTAGAAAGGAAGAAAAGGAATCACACTTGTAGGAGTTCCTTCAAAGGTATCCCCATGGCTTACATAATGCCATCTGTCAAAAGAAAATTGATTCTTATAACACATCAGTAATGTGATATGGTTTAAGTTGTTTTAGAGTAGAGGTAATAGATTTACACTGATTTTGCTATGTTGCCTTTCTTCTCAAATCTCTTTGGTGAAAAATCAAACCAACCTCTTATGGAGTAAAACTTCTATGACCGTTTACACTGTGTTCTAACAATAAAAAAAAAAAAAAAAAAAAAGACTTCAGTCAAGTTTAAAAAAAATTATGATTTAAGTGAAACTGGCCAAAACAGATGGTTAATAAGTCATTTACTGACAAAACTTGAGTATTACTATGTGCTGGGTACTGTGGAAAATACTTTATATACATTATGTCACTGCACCCTGACAACAAACCCTATGGAAGCTAGTAATCTATTACATCCACTTTGGACATGAGGAAATTTAAAGCCCAGATGCATTAAACTTGTACAAGAACATGCAACTACTAATTAGAAAAGGTGAGATCCACTCCAGTTCTGTCAAATTACACTCCACTGCCTCTGAACAAATACTCATTAACAAAACAAATCAAGCTCTGCTCTGTGCTGGAGACACAGCAATGAGCAAGACCGAAACCCTATAACTTCAGGGAATTGTAAAACAGAAAACACTGATCATCTACTTGAAATTTTCAATTACACAAAGAAAAAAAACATGTACACAGTGAAGGTAAGTGACTTGCCCAAGGACATACTGATGGGTAGTGCAACACATAGGGCAAAAACCGTAGTCTTCTGCCCCTTACATCACTGCCCTTTCCATTCCATCTGTCCACCAGAGACAGTTATGCTCTGGGAGCTCAGGGGAAAAGCACTGTGAAACAAAATGATGTATTCTCTCTTTTCTCCTTTCCCAATCATCACCTGCCTCTACATGTCAAGTCTGAGATTACAGCATCTCCCAGAGATAATGATGCAACACAAAGAAAGATTCTAACTTCGAGTCAAATTTTGTTCACAGTACTGGCTAGAAAACAATCTAAAGCTATTTCATTACTTACACTGTTGGTGCTCCTGTCAATGAAACAAGTGCTCTTACAAAACTTAGTATTGGCCGGCGCCGCGGCTCAACAGGCTAATCCTCCACCTAGCGGCGCTGGCACACTGGGTTCTAGTCCCAGTCGGGGCGCCGGATTCTTTCCCGGTTGCCCCTCTTCCAGGCCAGCTCTCTGCTGTGGCCAGGGAAGGCAGTGGAGCATGGCCCAAGTGCTTGGGCCCTGCACCCCATGGGAGACCAGGAGAAGCACCTGGCTCCTGGCTTCGGATCAGCGCGGTGCGCCGGCCACAGCGCACCAGCCGTGGCGGCCACTGGAGGGTGAACCAACGGCAAAAAAGGAAGACCTTTCTCTCTGTCTCTCTCTCTCACTATCCACTCTGCCTGTTAAACTCTGCCTGTTAAAAAAAAAAAAAAACAACAACAACAAAAAAAAAAAAAACAAAAAACAAAAAAAACTTAGTATTAACATTTGTACTGAGTGCTCAAGTATATACAAAACTGTACAGTACACAAACACCCCTCTCCTCAAGATATATATAAAAAAGGGCACAGTGGGGAGTTTACAGTTAATAATACAAGCTATATCAGAGTATATGACATATTTAAATACAAACTCTGTACAAACTCAGTACAGCTGTACAAATCTGTGAATTTATTAGAAATCCACTAAGGCAAATACTTTGGGTGAATTTTATCTCAATAAAGCTATTAAGGGGCCGACTTTGTGGCATAGTTGGTAAAAACTGCCACCTGCAATGCCAACATCCCATACGGGCACCAGTTTTGAGTCCTAGTTGTTCCACTTCCAATCCAGCTCCCCACTAATAGCCTGGGAAAGCAGAACATGGCCCAAGTAACTGAACCTTTGCCACCCACATGGGAGATGCAAAAGAAGCTCCTGGCTTCAATCCAGCCCAATGCTAGCCAATGAAGCCACCTAGGGAGTGAACTAACAGATGGAAGATCTCTTCTCTCTCTCTCACTCGTTCTCTCTCCCCCTTTAAAAAAATTTTTAAGCTCCTCTAGGGCCGGCGTTGTGCTACAGCAGGTTAAGCCACCACATCTCATGTTGGTGTCCCAGTCCAAGTACCCTAGCCACTACCATTCTGAGTCAGCTCCCTGTTAATGTGCCTTAGAAGCAGCAGAAGGTGGCCCAAGTACTTAGGCCTCTGTCATCCAGGACATTTGGGATGGAAGACTAATCAATCCTCTCTTTCTCTGCCTTTCAAACAAAAAAAAAAAGTCTTTAAACCCTTTACAAAGACAACCTCAGGTTACGGCATTCTAGGCACTAGAAAGCACTTTATATTTACCCAGTCTTTACTAAATTTTCTCCAATTTACCAAGAAAAACATATTAAGTGATATTAGAGAACTTGCCTAAAATCACACAGATAAAGTTCAGAAGATCTAGGAATAAGACTTGGTTACTTACATTAAGTGAAAATGACAAGAAAAAAGCTTAAAGCTTAAGTAAAAAACAGCTAATATCTAAAAATGTAAAAGTACTTTCTGGATTCTCTGTGGCCTGAGAATGTGCACTCTGTAAAAACCACAAAGAACACGATTTGCCATCAACAGCCAGGGACACTATTTTGGCAGTCCTAGGAACAGGTTATGGAGGTGAGTATTTAGGGAAACCCACCTGCCCTAGAAGAAGTAGCTTTACTTCCTGGACTTCTATTCACTAAACTGTAGTCTATCATGGCTCAAAAACAGATCCAGGGATCTTTTAGAGAGACAATGTAAGTTAATAGAGGAGTACTAGCTTTGCAGCTTAAGATTCAGATTCACAAAAATCTTCATTTGGCCACTTACTAGGTATTAAGCTTAGGGCAATTCATTTAATTTTTTAAAAACCTAGTTTCCTCATTTTTAGAAATATTTACCCTGCAAAGATGTCTGAACAATAAATGAAAAAAGGTACGTATGGTATGTATATATCGGGTTGGGGGGGTGCACTTTTTGCCTCAAAATAAGCTTGTTTTTTTTTTTTTTGACAGGCAGAGTGGATAGTGAGAGAGAGAGACAGAGAGAAAGGTCTTCCTTTTGCCGTTGGTTCACCTTCCAATGGCCGCCACGGCTGATGCGCTGCAGCCGGCACACCGCGCTGATCCGAAGGAAGGAGCCAGGTGCTTCTCCTGGTCTCCCATGGGGTGCAGGGTCCAAAGCTTGTTTTTCAATTCCATTTTCCACAAACTTTTTGAAGTACCCTCCCAAGTACTGTACTTGCAGAACACCTAGCTCAGAGTGACAGCTCAATATAAGGTTGCTGCTTTTATTTAGCTTAAGTGTGACACCTAGGGTTTTATAAAAACAAAATGATATCCAATAACAGCATCTAAACAAACTTGTCAATTCAAACGGTAATTATTACTCTTGGAGCAAAGTTTACCTTTTCATAGTATAAAAATAACATAAAAAGCAGCTTATGAGAGAAAAATCTAGAAACCGTGGGGCGGGGGGGGGGGGGGGATCTACCACAATCCTTTCACCTCCAAAACAATCTCATTAAATTATAGAACTCTCAGAAGGCTATTGGCCAGTAGCTTGTGTACTTTAGGGAGAGGGAAGGAGTGTCATTCTGACCTTGCTCTTTATTTCATCAGCCTATCTGAATTCTAGAGTGTGGACATGAAAACGAAGGTGGCGAGGGGAAATAAAGGAAAAGAGTCAACTTTGCCTTTTTTTTTTTTTTTCCAGGCAAGTTATCACACTGGTCAAGTTTTGAAGTATCAGAAAACTAAGATTTGAGATGAGACAACTAGATTTGAGAATTACCTGTGGCATTTACCCTCATTTTTTCCAACACTGATTATTAAAGAATATAGATATTTGAGAACTGTAAATACATTTGTATCTTCTCCATACCTGCCCGCTGAGGAATTACAGATTTTAAGAAACACCTATTACAAGGAAATGGAAACAAAAATAAACAATGCGATAAACATTATAGCCTGAATTAGACCAAAGGGATTTTTCCCCCCCTGAAAGCTTCTACTATGGGACCCTGAGGCTCTCCACCCAGAGAAAAATTTTTCCAATAAACAAAATAACAAATGTTCAAACTAGGGCTGAGCATTTGACACAGCAGTTAAGGCACCAGCATCTCATACTGGAGTACCTTCATTGAAATTCAAGGTTTGCTCTCTATTCCAGTTAACTTGTACCCTGGGAAGCAGCTGGTGATGGCTCCAGTAATGTCCTTGCCACCCTCACTGTGAAACCTAGATTGAGCTCCTGTCTCCTGGCTTCTTCTGGTCCAAATCCCCAGGTGTTGTGGGCATTTGGTGAATGAATCAGCAGATGCGATTCAAATAAATGAAAATAAATAAACTTGCTTAAAAAAAAGTTAGCCTATCAAATAACCATCACTTCCCTGTAGGGGAATGAAAGGACTGTATTAGAAAAATAAACGGCAAAGGCACTCTCTGGAACAGAAAACAGGAAATACTTTAAAAAGGCAAAATTGCAAATACAGATTAACAGAGTATGAAATTGAACGCTGAGGCAAAACACCTGTTAAATGAAAAGAGGAAGAGAGGATGTTTGTAGTCTTAAGTACTTAATGGTAACACTAATTTCTGATCTGGTTATCATATGTAAAGCTTGCCATCCAGTAGAAAACCTGGTTCCAGCTTAACACAAAACTACACAGTACTTAAATTATATAGAAGTACTTAATCGCTAACTGCCTCAGTCTCCTCATCTGTAAAACGGATGCACCTTACCTACCCAGAGTTATGTTGAGCGAAAAGAATTTTGCGCAGCTGTTCTGCAACTCTTAAAAGTGTCGTGCAAATCAGAGCATCTCTTTTCTTTCTCATTAGTTTGACATGGAATTTAGTCACAGCTGGGAATAAATTTCAGGAACATTGATAATGAAAATGTGCTGAGCATGGAGGAACAAATTCAGGTGAGGAGCATCATGGAAGTTTAGCAGAAAACAGCGAAGTATGAAGAAAAGGATCGAAAGAGGTACACAAGGTAAAACTGGTTGTAACACGACCTCATAAAGACCGCAAGAGAACACGTTCGCGCACACACACATCAACAAGATTATGCCACCGGTATTAACTGCACCATTGAGGAAGTACCCAGCAATTATGGTTGTCCAAATCCATCTACCAGCACACCTTGGTGTGTGTTTACAGCTCTGCTGTACACCACGACCTGACAAAATACACTTTTAAAAAACGTTTAGCAACCTGCCGCGAGGCTACAACATATTTCACCTTTCGAACTCCTAAGCAAACCTGTAATGTAACTGAGACGACCAAAAGAATGTTTCATCTTCAAAAACCAAGATCCAGCAGTTTTCCCTTTTATCTTTCCAGCACTGCGTCTAAAAGTGATCACAAATCTTTACGGAATGCTGTTCGGTATTTCTCGTCTGGAACCACCGATCGCGGTAACGAACACATTCTTTCAAAGAGCGAGGGCTTTCTCTACTTTTCGGTGCTTAAACTAGATTGGGGAGGATTTACCACCTCGGAAGTGAAACCAAAGGAGAGCGAACCCTAATCCCTGACTCGATTAGGCTCACTACGCCGTGCCAACAGCAGGGACCTCGCAATACCCAGCGCGGGTCCCAACGCCGGCGGCCGTGGTCCAGCCCGGCCTCACCAGGGCGCCCTCCCAGGACGCGGGGGTGGCAGGCGTCACTCTCCGCCGGAGAGGGCAGCGAGGGCCGACGCTGGGGTCGGGGGCCTCCTCAGGCCGGGACCGCAACACCCTACCCGGCCTCGCTCCCGGCCCGCGCCACCCGCCGCACTCACCGCGTTCTTCTTCTGCACCATCTTGTCCATCTTCTTGGCGATGCGGACTACCTCGTCCTCCATGGCGCCGGCAGGTCTTCCCCGCGCCCAGCCCTCTGGGGCCGCGAAATGGCAGAAGGTGGCGTGGAGAGGACGTAGAGCGGTCGCGAGCCCCGGCGTCCGGCGACTCCCACCACGGCAGGCCCCGGCCTAGGGCCTTCCTCACACACCAGACCAGAGGCGGCAGCGGTGGCTCCGCCCCGCAGGCCGCACTAGTAGAGCCCGCGCGCGTCCTACAGGCGCTACTAATCAACTGCGGATCGCTGCGAAAGGGTGAGTCGCGGCTTCACCGGGCTGGATTTGGGCGGGCGTTGGCCTGAGGGAGGAGGGCCAAGAGGGCGGTACGGCTTCCCGCCAGCGGGTGAGGAAGGCAACGGTTGTGCCGGGCGTCTCTCAACGCACAGGGCGGGGTTTCTGCCCCCCGGGGTCCCTTGGAGCCGCCCAGAGCCTTAGAACCTAGCGGGACCCACGTTGCTCGAATGGGAGGCGGGTTCGGAGAATCGAACTTTGGCGGGTTTGAAAGTCCGTGAGGATCCCGAGCGGTCTCCATGGTAGACAGCTACGCAGAAGAACGTAACCCAGCACCTAAAGAGCCTATTATGGCACGCGTCTGGTCATTTTTTGGGTTCGTTTGTAAGCTTCTTGAGGACAGACCAACCTTGCACATAGCACTTTGAATACGGAGAGTTAAGTACTAGTGAACAAAGAAATTAAGTAAGGCAACTCACCTACTTCTGAAGACAGAAGAGGAAGTTAGCGTCCTTAAAAATAAGGACTGCGTTTGTCTCAGGGTTAAGATGCCTGCGTCCTACATCAGAGTGCCTGAGGCCCTGCGAATGCGCCTGGGAGGCAGCATTTTAAATTTTTTAAATTTTTTAAAAAATTTGAACAGTAAAAAGAGGCAGAGATCTTCCATCTGCTAACCGGTTCAATCACCAAATGACTCCAACAGCCAAGATTGGGCTAGGGCTAAAAAGGAGCCTGGGGCCGGCGCCGTGGCTCAATAGGCTAATCCTCCGCCTTGCGGCACCGCACACCGGGTTGCCCCTCTTCCAGGCCAGCTCTGCTAGGGCCCGAGTGCAGTGGAGGATGGCCCAAGTGCTTGGGCCCTGCACCCCATGGGAGACCAGGAGAAGCACCTGGCTCCTGCCTTCCGATCAGCACGATGCGCCGGCCGGCCATTGGAGGGTGAACTAACGGCAAAAGGAAGACCTTTCTCTCTCTCTCTCTCTCTCTCTTTCTCTATCTCTCTCACTGTCCACTCTGCCTGTCAAAAATTAAAAAAAAAAAAAGCCTGGAATCCAGGACTTCCACGTGGGTGGCAGGGACCCATGTACTTGAGCCATAGCTGCTACCTCCCAAGGTGTGCATTAGCAGCAAGTGGGAATCCAGAACGGCCAGGACTGAAATCCAGGCTCTCTGATATGGGAGGCCAGCAGCTTACCCATTGTGCTAAATGCGTGCTCCCATTTTTAACTAGTGTTTATTGTTGATAGCTAACTTAAATTGTAAGAATGCAGGTATTTAATGGGAAAGGAATTTGTTGAGATTTGTGAATTTCTGTAAATATTCTATGTGTCCTGAAAAAAAAGTTAATCCGTAAGGCAAATATAAGGTTCCATGTTGGCCCCTTAGCCAGAAATTACAGTTTTCCAATATTTATATCCCCATTTGCTGTCTGCTTAACACGTCAATTAATGTGTATGTTAACAATACCTTTATGGTTGTGGATTTGTACCCTTAAATTATTAATTCTAATATCAGAATTATTATAATAATTGTCATTTTAACTTTTCTCAGTTAATTCCTTTTCAACTGTGGTAAAAGCGCACATAAAATATACTGTCTGAACAATTTTAAAGTATACAATTCTGTAGCAGTATTATGCAATGGTCACCACTGGATAGTTCCAAAACCTTTTGCAAGCATTTTCATCATCTCAAAAAGAAACTCTGTGGGCCGGCACCACAGCTCAATAGGCTAATCCTCCACCTTGCGGCGCTGGCACACCGAGTTCTAGTCCCGGTCGGGGTGCCGGATTCAGTCCCGGTTGCCCCTCTTCCAGGCCAGCTCTCTGCTGTGGCCAGGGAGTGCAGTGGAGGATGGCCCAAGTGCTTGGGCCCTGCACCCCATGGGAGACCAGGAGAAGCACCTGGCTCCTGCCTTCAGATAAGTGCTGTGCGCCAGCCATTGGAGGGTGAACCAACAGCAAAGGAAGACCTTTTTCTCTGTCTCTCTCACTATCCACTCTGCCTGTAAAAAAAAAAAGAAACCCTGTACCAAGTAAGCAATCATTCCTGATTCTTTCCCCCAACTCCACTCCAACAATTCTTGCCAAGCAACAGTCTGCTTTTTCTCTCTATGAATTTGCATGTTCTGAACATTTCATATAAATGGATTCATACAATATGATATTTTCTGATTAGCTTCTTTCACTTAGTATGCTTTCAAGATTTTCCTATGTTGTAGAATATATCAGTACTTCATTCCCTTTTATGGCTGAATATTGAAATGTCATCAATTGATGGATGTGCACGTTGTTTCCACCCAGCTTCCTCTATTCTACATTTTAATTCTTGTGGATAGTGCTGCTGTGAACATTCCTGCACATGTTTTGGGTGAACACCTGTTTTCAGTTCTTTTGAATATGTACCTAGGAGTGGAATTGCTGGGTCATACTGTAATTCTATATTTAAAATTGAAGAATTGGGGCCAGCACTGTAGTGTAGCAGGTAAGGCTGCCGCCTGTAGTGCCATCATCCCATATGGGCGCTGGTTTGAGTTCCGGCTGCTTCACTTCCGATTTGGCTCTCTGCTGTGGCCTGGGAAAGCAGTGGAAGATGGCCCAAGTCCTTGGGCCCCTGGACCACGTGGAATACTTGGAAGAAGCTCCTGGCTCCTGGCTTTGGATTGGTGCAGCCCCACCTGTTGCAGTCAATTGGGAGTGAACCAGCAATGGAAGACCTCTCTCTGTGCCTCTCCTTCTATCTCTCTGTAACTCTTTCAAATAATTAAATAAATTAAAAAAAATAAAATAAAATTGAGGAATTGCCAATCTGTTTTCCATAGTGGCTATACCATTTTACATTCCTATCACCAATGTGCTAGGATTCCTATTTCCCTACATGTTAATCAGTAGTTGTTTCTGTCCATTTTTTCTATTCTAACCATCCTAGTGAATTTAAAGTGATATCTTACTGTGGTTTTGATTTGCATTTCCTAATGACTAATGGTGCTCAGCAGATTTTCGTGGTTTTTTTTTTTTTTTGCCATTTGTATATTTTATTTTAAAAGGGCTATTTGAGTCCTTTAACCAGTCTCTGACTGGGTTTCTTTTTTTTTTCTTTTAAAGATTTATTTATTTATTTGAAAGGGTTACACCAGAGAGAGAGAAGGAGAGGCAGAGAGAGAGAGAGGTCTTCCATCCGTTGGTCCACTCCCCAACTGGCCGCAACGGCTAGAGCTGCGCCCATCCAAAGCCAGGAGCCAGAAACTTCCTCTGGGTCTCCCACAGGGGCCATCTTTTACTGCTTTCCCAGGCCACAGCAGAGAGGTGATTCAGAGTCAGAGAGTGATTCAGAGAGCTGAACCGGAAGTGGAGTAGCCGAGACTTGAACCGGCACCCATATGGGATGCCGGCACTGCCGGCATACGCCACAGCACTGGCCCATGGGTTGCTTTTTATTGTTGAATTGTGAAAGCTCTTTATACATTCTGGACACAACACTCTTGCCAAATAAATGATTTGCAAACATTGTTTCCCACTCTTGTGGGTTGTCTTTTCACTCATTTGGTAGTGACTATTGATGTACAAATCTTTTAAATTTTATGAAAATCTGATTAATCTAATTTCTTTTGTTGTGCTTTTGATGTCAAATTTCAGAAACACTTAACAAATCCAATGTCATAAAGATTAACTATTTCCATTTTAACAATATTATATCTTCCAATCCATTAATATGGGATGACTTTCCATTTATTGAGGTCTACATTAAATTTTTTTAGCAACATATTGTAGTTCTCATCAAATTGACTAAATTTATTTCAAGATAGTTTATTCTTTAAAAAAAAAAAAAGTGTATTCATGGGAGAGAGAGAGAGAAATCTTCCACCCCCGGTTCTCTCCCCAAATAACCACAACAGTTGAGTGGGCCAGAAAGAAACCTGGTGTCAAGAACTCCATCCAACTCTCCCATGTAGGTGGCAGGGACTCAGGTACTTGAGCCATCATTCACTGCTTTCTCAGGCACATTAACATTAACTTAATTGAGCTGAATGAGAAGCAAAGTAGCAAGGACTCAAACTGACATTCTGATAGGAGATGCTGGTATCCCAAGACACAGCTTAACCTTCAGTGCCACAACATGGCCCAAGTTTATTTTTTGGCATGTCATTATAAATAGAATTATTTTCTTAATTTTCCTTTAAAATTGCTCATTACTAGCATGTTCAAATTCAACTTATATTTTTGTACTGACATATACTTCAGATTTGCTGCGTTATTTTACTAGCTCTTAAGTTTTTTAAGGAGTCACTAAGATTTTCTATGTAAAATCATTTCAGCTGTGAAACCATTTTACTTCTAATTTGAAAGCCTTTTGCTTCTTTTTCTTGCCTAATTGCTCAGATTAGAACTTTCAGTGCAATGTTAAGCAGAAGAAGTGGTGAAAACAGGAATTTTTGTATTGAATCTGAGAGGGAAAGCTTTCTTAGTCTTTCACCATGGAATATATCTTTAGTATGTTGAGGAAACATGTCTCTTTTTTTTTTAAGATTTATTTATTTATTTGAGAGGAAGAGTTGCATACAGAGAGGGACAGAAAGAGAGGTCTTCCTTTGGTTCCTCCCCAGATGGCCACAACGGCTGGAGTTGGGCCAATCTGAAGTGAGAATCTGGAGCTTCTTCAGGGTCTCCTGCGTGGGTGTGGGGACCCAAGCATGTGGACCACCTGCCACTGCTTTGCCAGGCCATCAGCGGGGAGCTGGATCAGAAGTGGAGCAGCTAGGACTCAAACTGGTGCCCATATGAGATGTTGGTGTTGCAGATGGAGGCTTAACCTAGTATGCCACAGCACTGACCCCAAGGAAGTTTACTTCTATTCCTATTTTGTTGAGTATTCCTGTCATGAATAAGTGCTGTATTTTGTCAGATGTTTTTTCTGCATCAATTAAGATGATTAAGCGGTATTTGTCCTTCACTCTATTAATGTGTGGTTTATTATAGTGATTGACTTTGATATGTTTTTGAACCACATTTGAATTATTCATATGTCACTGGTCATGGTATATAATCTTTTGAACGTGGTCCTGAATTTGATTTGCTAGTGTTTGGATGAGAATTTTTGTTTCTGTATCAACACCTGTTAAGGGACAGCAGTCTAAAATTGTCTTTAAATGGCTTTGGTATCTGAGTAATACTGGCCTCATAGAAAGCATCAAAAAGTGTGCTTTCCTCTTCTATTTTAAAGAAGTTGAGTGTTAATTCGTTAATTGGTAGAATCTGTTGATTAAACCATCTGGTCCTGGGCTTTTCATGGTTCGAGGTTCTAGAAACTGATTCAATCTCTTGTAAATCTGTTCAGATTGTCTATTTCTCCTTGAGTCAGTTTGGGCAGTTTGTGTGATTATAAACTTTTTTTCATTTCATCTAGGTTATCTAATTTTTTCATGTACAATTGTTTTTAGTCTTCTTAATAATTCTTTTTATTTCAATAGGTCCACAGAAATTCTTTTTAAAGATTCATTTATTTTTATTTGAAAGGTAGAGTTACAGAGAAAGAAGGAGAGGCAAAGAGAGAGAGACAAAGAGACCTTCCATATACTGGTTCACTCCCCAAATGGCTACAATAGCCAGGGCTGGGCCAGGCTGAAGCCAGGAGCCTGGAACTCCAACAGGGTTTCCCATGTGAGTGCAAAGGCTCAAGCACCTGGATCAGGTTTTGCCATCTTCCCAGGCACATCAGTAGGGAGCTGGATCAGAAGTGGAGCAACCAGGCCTTGAGCAGCACCCATATGGAATGCTAGAGTTTCAAGCAGCTTCTTACTCCATTTGTGCCACAACACCAGCCCCCTCACTTTTATTTGTGGTTGTAGGTAAGTCCTCCTTTTTCTTTTTATCAAAGTAGCCAGAAGTTTGTCAGTGTTATTGCTGTTTCCAAATAACCAAATTTTGGTATAGTCAATTTTCTCCATTGTTTTGCTAATTTTTATTTATTTTATATCTAATATAATTATACTATTTCCTTATAACAGTATATATTATAACATAATATATACTATTTCCTTACAATGGTTTCCTTCTTTTTTATTTAAAATCTTTCTTTAAGATTTATTTATTCAAAAAGTGGAGTAACACAGAGAGAAGGAAAAACAGAGAGATCTGCTGGTTCACTTCACGAATGTATGAAACAGTCAGGGCTGGATCAGGCCAAAACCAGGAGCCAGGAACTCCATCCTGGTCTCTCCATGGGTGGCAGGGGCCCAAGCTTCCCCAGACACATTAGCAGGAAGCTGCATTAGAAGCAGAGTATGGGATGCCAGCATCACAAGCAACATCTTAAGACAGGTCACACCACAACATCTGCCCCCAAAATTTTTTTCCTGTAGGTTTTTACAACTATAAATTTCCATCCAAGAGAAATTTTATTCAATGAGTTTTGGTATGCAAGTATTGTTTTTGTTTTCATCTGTCTCAAAAGATTTTCTAATTTTTGGAAATAGATCCAGTCCAGGCAACACAATAGAAAAACAAAAGGAGGAGGAGGAGAGAAGAAGAAGAAGAAGAAGAAATTAGAAAAATTAAGAACAGGGGCCAACCCTGTGGCATGGCAGCTGAAGCCGCCACCTGCAGTGCCAAAATCTGATATGGGTGCCAATTCAAGTCACAGCTGCTCCACTTCCAATCTAACTCCCTCCTAATATGCCTGGGAAAGCCCTAGTTCAGCCTTACAAATGATACTTAAGCATGTGCTACACATAGAAACACAAAAAGATACTTATTATTATGAAAGAATGTAAAGGCAGAAAATCTCCCAGTAAAAGTACAAAGGAAATCCAAAGCAAACTATAGGAATGTTTATGGGAAAATGACAGAGCCAACTCATTATTTATCAATAATAATCTTGAATATAAATGGCCTAAATGGGGGGAGGGGGTAGCAATGTGGCATAGTAGACTAAGCATCCACCTATGGTGACAGCATCCCATATGGGCACCAGTTCATGTACTGGCTGCTCCTCTTCCCATCCAGCTCTCTGCTATGGCCTGGGAAAGCAGTAGAAGATGGCCCGAGTGCTTGGGCCCTTGCATCTACATGGGAGACCTGAAGAAGCTTCTGCCTGGCTCCTGGCTTTGGATCAGTCCAGCTCCGGCCATTGAGGCCATTTGGGGATTGAAGCAGTGGATGGAAGGCCTCTCTCTGTGTCTCTTCCTCTCTCTGTCTGTAACTCTACCTCTAAAATACATAAATACGGTCGGCGCCGCGGCTCACTAGGCTAATCCTCCGCCTAGAGACGCCGGCACACCAGGTTCTAGTCCCGGTTGGGGCGCCGGATTCTGTCCCGGTTGCCCCTCTTCCAGGCCAGCTCTCTGCTGTGGCCAGGGAGTGCAGTGGAGGATGGCCCAGGTGCTTGGGCCCTGCACCCCATGGGAGACCAGGAAAAGCACCTGGCTCCTGGCTCCTGCCATCGGATCAGCGCGGTGCGCCAGCCGCAGCGCGCTGGCCGCGGCAGCCATTGGAGGGTGAACCAACGGCAAAGGAAGACCTTTCTCTCTGTCTCTCTCTCTCACTGTCCACTCTGCCTGTCAAAAAAAAAAATAAATAAATAAATAAATAAAAAATCTGAAAAAAAAAAAAAAAGATACAAACTGGCAGAATGGTTTGAAAAACAGGTCCCATTATTTGCTGCCTACAAGAAACATTCCTCACAAAAGAAAGGATGGAAAACACTATTCTATGCTAATGGGAAGCAAAAACAAGCAGGTTTAGCCATCCTAATATAAGACAAAATATATATTGAAATAAAAACTGTTAAAAAGAGACAAGGGCATTATGTAATGATTTAGGGATCAGTTCAACAGGAAACTGTGACTACAATAAATGTAGATTTACTCAATGCCAGGGTACCTGACTATTTAAAAGAAATGTTAATGGATCTAAAGGGAGACATTGAATCCAATACCACAGAAATGGGGGACTTCAACACCTCACTTTCAACAGTGGACAGATCAACTAGCTGGGAAATCAACAAAGAAACAACAGAGCTAATCCACACTGTGGACCAAGTGGACCTAAGTGATATATATCATCCCACAGTTGCAGAATACACATTCTTTTCATCAGTGCATGGAATCTTCTCTAGAAAGACTGTATACTAGGCCATAAGGCAAGTCTCAGCAAATTAAAAAAAAACTGAAATTATCCCATGCATCTTTTCTGACCACAATGGAATGAAGCTGGACATTAACAACTCAAGAATCTCTAGAAAATATGCAACAACATGGAGACTGAATAACATGCTCCTGAATAAACAGTGGGTCACAGAAGAAATCAAAATGGAAATCAAAAAATATCTAGAAACAAATGAAGATGACAATACAACATTAGCAAAACTTACGGGATACAGCAAAAGCAGTGCTAAGAGGGAATTTTATAGCAATTGGTGCCTACATCAAGAAATTGGAAAGGCACCAAATAAATGAGCTATCTATGCAACTTAAGGACCTAGAAAAACAACAATAAACCAAACCCAAAATTAGTAGGAGGAAAGAAATAATTAGAGAATAAACAAAATTGAAACAAAAAATACAAAAGATCAACGAAATGAAAAATAAACAAAATTGATACACTATTGGCCCAACTAATAAAAAAAAGTGGGAGAAGACTCAAATGAATAAAATCAGAGATGACAAAGGAAATGTAGCAATGGATACCACAGAAATAAAAAGAATCATCAGGAATTATTACAAATGCTATATGCCAAAAATTGGAAAACAAGAATAAATGGATAGATTCCTGGATACATACAATCTACCAAAGTTGAGTCATGAAAACAGAAAACCTAAACAGACCAATAACCAAGATAGAAATTGAATGAGTAGTAAAGAGTCTCCCAACGAAGAAAGGCCCAGGACTGTTGAATTCTACCCAACTTTTAAAGAAAAAGTAATTCCAATTCTTTTCAAGCAATTCAAGATATTGAAAGGGAGGGAATCCTCCCAAACTTCTTCTATGAGGCTAGCATCACCTTAATTCCTAAACCAGAAAAAGATAAAACAGAGGAAAAGAACTATAGACCAATAACCCTGATAGACAGAGATGCAAAAATCATCAACAAAATACTAGCTAATCAAATCCAGCAACATAACAGAGAGATCATTCACTCGGACCAAGTAGGTTTTATCCCTGATATGCAGAGATGGTTCAATATATGCAAATCAATCAGTGAGATACATCACATTAGCAAAATGAAGAACTGAAACCATATGATTATCTCACTAAATGCAAAGAAAGCATTTGATCAAATACAATATCCTTTTATGATGAAAACCTTAAGCAAATTGGGTATAGAAGGAACATTCCTCAACACAATCAAAGCAATTTATGACAAACCCATGGCCAGCATCATATTGAATGGGGAGAAGTTGGAAGCATTCCCATTGAGATCCAGAACCAGACAAGGATGCCTGCTTTCTTTTTTTTTTAACTTTTATTTAATGAATATAAATTTCCAAAGTACAGTTTATGGATTACAATGGCTCCCCCCCATAACTTCCCTCACACCGCAACCCTCCCCTTTTCCGCTCCCTCTCCTCTTCCATTCACATCAAGATTCATTTTCAATTCTCTTTATATACAGAAGATCAGTTAGCATATATTAAGGAAAGATTTCAACAGTTTGTACCCACATAGAAACAAAAAGTGAAAAATACTGTTTGAGTACTAGTTATAGCATTAAATCACAATGTACAGCACATTAAGGACAGAGATCCTACATGAGGAGTAAGTGCACAGTGACTCCTGTTGTTGACTTAACAAATTGACACTCTTGTTTATGGCATCAGTAATCACCCTAGGCTCTTGTCATGAGTTGCCAAGGCTATGGAATCCTTTTGAGTTCACTGACCTGATCATATTTAGACAAGGTCGTAGTCAAAGTGGAAGTTCTCTCCTCCCTTCAGAGAAAGGTACCTCCTTCTTTGAAGACCTGTTCTTTCCACTGGGATCTCACTCGCGGAGATCTTTCATTTAGGTCATTTTTTTTTTTTTTGATAGAGTGTCTTGAGGATGCCTACTTTCACCATTGCTATTCAATAAGGCCTGGAAGTTTCACCTAGAGCCATTAGGCAAGAAAAAGAAATGAAAGGGATCCAAATTGGAAAGGAGGAAGTCAAAGTATCCCTATTTGCAGATGACATGATTCTATTCATAGGGTAACCAAAGGACACCACTAAGAAACTATTGGAACTCAGTTTGGTAAAGTTGCAGGATATAAAATAGCAAACAAAAATCAATAGCCTTTCTATAGATAGACAATGCCATGATTGAGAAAGAACTTCTAAGATCAATCTCATTAACAATAGCTACAAAAAATTAAATACTTTGGAATAAACTTAATCAAGGATGTAAAAGACCTCTACAATGAAAATTACAAAACATTAAGGAAGAAATAAAGACACAAAAATGGAAGGGTTTTCCATGTTCATGGATTAGAAGAATTAATATCATCAAAATATCCATAATAATGAAAGCAATTTACAGATTCAATGTGATTCCAATTAAAATACTAATGAAATTCTTCTAAGATCTAGAAAAAACAATGCTAAAGTTCCTATGGAAACACAAGAGACCCAGAATAGCTACAGCAACCTTAAATAACAAAAATGAAGCTGGAGGTATCACAATACCAGATTTTAAGACATACAACATGGCAGTTTTAGTCAAAACATCCTGGTATTGGCACAAAAATAGACATATAGAGCAATGGAACTCCAGAAGTCAATCCATGCCTGTACAACCAATTTATTTTTGACAAAGGAGTTAAAGTCAATCCCTGGAAAAAGAACCATCTTTTCAACAAATGATGCTGGTAACATTGGATCTCCAAATACAGAAGTATGAAGCAAGGTCTGTACCTTAAACCTTACACAAAAATGAATTCAAAATGGATCAAGTATCTAAATCTATGACCAGATACCATTAAATTACTAGAGAACATTGGGGAAACTCTGCAAGACATTGACATAGGGAAAGATTTCTTGGGCAAGACTCCAGAAGCACAATCAGTCAAAGGCAAAACTGACAAATGAGATTACATCAGGCTGAGAAGATTCTGCACTGCAAAGGAAACACTCAGCAAAGTGAAGAGGCAACCAACAGAATGGGAAAAAACATTTTCAAACTATGGACTTATAAAATATTAATATCCAGAATCTATAAAAAGCTCAGGAATCTCAACAAAAACTAAACAAACAGTCCAGTTAAGAAATGGGCAAAATACTTGAACAGTTATTTTTCAAGAGAGGAAATTCAAATGACCAACAGTCACATGAAAAAATGGTCAGGATCACTAGCCGTAAGCTAAACACAAATCAAAACCACAATGAGGTTTCACCTCACTCCAGTTGTAATGGCTCTCGCACAGAAATCAACAAACAATAAATTCTGGCGAAGATAAGGGTAAAAAGGTACACTAATCCACTATTAGGTGGTAAACTGTTGCAGCCATTGCTATAAAAAAAGAATGAAATCTTGAGTTTTGCAATAAAATAGATGCAACTAGAAACCATTATACTTAGTGAAATAAGCCAATCCCAAAAAGATAAGCATATATTTTGCCTAGTCTGTGGAAACGTAGAATATCAAAAATGTAATGTATAGGAGTGAAATTCATATTTTGAGACCAATGATTGTTTACAGTTTTTGTCTCTACCAATGAGGAAATATGGTTGTTTTTTTTTTTGTTACTATTTGTTGAACTCTTTACTTATCAGTATAAATAAATCTTATCAGTAAAAAAGTAAACTGAAAATAGATCATTGTAAAAACTAGGAGAGGGAATAAAAGAGGAAGGAGGTTGTGGCCTGCACCATGGCTCAGCAGGTTAAGCCACTGCTTGCAGTGCCAGCATCCCACAGGGGCACTGATTCAAGTCCCAGCTGCTCTGCTTCTGATCTGGCTCCCTGCTAATGATCTGGGAAAGCAGCAGACAATGGCCCAAGTCCTTGGGCCCCTGCACTCATGTGGGAGACCTTGAAGAAGCTCCTGGCTAGTGTCTTCAGCCTGGGCCAGGCCTGGCTATTGTGGCCATTTGGGGAGTGAACCAGAGGATGAAAGCTCACTCGCGCTCTCTCTCTCCCTCTGTAACTCTTTCAAATAAATAAATAAATAAATCTTTAAAAAATAGGAATGAAGTGGAAGGGTAGGAATATGGAGAGGAGTGAGGATGGGGTAGGAAGTACCAATAAGTTCTTAAATCTATATATATGAATTATGTGAAATTTCTTTACCTTAAATAAAAATGAAATGAAAAGAAAATAAGAAGAGGAAGACAGAGAAGTACCTGTCTCTCCACAAGCACACATCAATGCCATGTAAGCAAGAAAGGTGGCCATCTGTAAGCCAGGAAATAGGGCCTCACCATGTGCTAAATATGCCTACACCTTTATCTTTGACTTCACAGTCAAAGGACTTTGATAAATTTGTTGCTTGAATTTATTTGTTTGAAAGGCAGAGGAATAGAGAAAGAAAGAGACATG